TAAGGAAGAGGAGGGCAGGAAAGAGGACTGGGCTGGTGGCCTGGGGGCTGAGCAGGAAGGGCTGGGCTGGAGGCTGGTGAACCTGAAGGAAGGTTTGTCCCCTATATACCCCTACCTTGTAGACATCATGGGAGCCGATGATGGCATCAAAGAGCGTGTAAAGGTCATTGAGCAGGTCCACTACTTCTATGGGGTCACTCATGGCTGAGATGGTGGTGAAGCCCACAATGTCGCTGAAGTACAGTGTCACCTCCTCAAAATACTCGGGCTCCACAGGTGTCCCCATCTTCAGAGCCTCAGCCACAGACCTAGGGATGGCAGGTGGTGAGGTTACCTGGAGGCCATCCCAGTCTGGCTGGATTCCAGCTGCCCTCCCCACCCTGTTCTTCCCATTGGCACCCACGGAGGCAGCATCTGTGTGAGCAGGCGGTCTGTCTTCTGCTTTTCCAGCTCCAGCTCCTCTGTGCGCTCGCGGATAAGGTCTTCCAGGTTACTGGAGTACTGCTCTAGCATCCGCAGCATTGAGTCGATGATATTGGTCTTCCGGCCCTTGTTGATCCTCTTGAACTGGTAGGAGGAGGAAGCTGGTGGGGCTGCTGAGGCTGTGATGCCCCTCTCATGAGTCTGTATTATGCCTGATTCTCTCCCCGACCCATTCATCTTCAACTCTTCAAGGCCCCCCCACCCCATACCTCCCAGGTGCAGGGTACTCTTTTCATACATTATTAGCAGGCACACAGGAAATGAGTGTTCCACAAGGTCATCTGTTCTCAGATAGTACTTGACAGGGAGCTGGAACCAACCCAACCTTTCTACTCCCAGGCCAAGGGTCTTTCTGCTACACTAGGCCAAGCACATACTTGGTTCTCAATAAATACTGAGTTGAATTAAATATTTCTTCCACCCAGAGCTCCATCTCCCACTCCAAAGGCCTCCATAGCCCCTGGTCTAACTCTGCCCCCACTTAGTCCTCAGACTACCCCTTAGCAAGAAGCCTGGAAGATCACAAATCCTGTGAACCTGCCTTTCTGAAACTTTCCTAGGTTGCTGACAAGTGGCCAGCCCAGCCCTTGCCCAATCCCAGCCCCTAACCAGGTCGAAGGTGCGGTCCATGGAGGGCCGAAGGTCCGGCTGCTCTGCCCAGCACTGTTTCATCAGCTGGATGCACTCCATAGGTGCCTGGTCCATGGAAACCAAGGGCCGACACAGCGGAGGGGGGCTCTGCACCCTCTGCACCACTTCTGGAGGCATGAGGGAACCATGAGAGGGAGTGTGCCAGAACAGAAGCCACCTCTGACTCTGGCCTGACTATTGAAGTCCAAGATGGGGGAAATGGAAGGGGGTCCTTTAAATCAGAGCTTCGGTAAGTAGTAGTGTGGAAGGGAGTTGCTGGGAGCAACAAAGGGACCCTGAACCCTGGGGGGCAGAGTGCAGTAAGAGGTGACAGGCAGAGACTAACATTTATTACACATAAGAAAAGTGAGAGTTAGGGTGATCAAGCAGCTTGCTGAGTCCTATAGATGATAAGTAATATGGATTTGAACCATATCCAGCAGCTCTCTTCCCCACTTCCTCCCACCCTGCTGCCTCCGTGGGGCCCCTAAGAACCAGAGAGGAGACTGTTCCATCGGTTGGTAGAGCAGGTTGGAGTCCAGGATCTGGACAGAGGAAACCACTGAGGAGGTCTGGGTGCCTAACAGCCGCCCCCTCCAATTCTGATGCTTGGCTTTCCACTGCTCTGACCCTTCAGACCCTCGTTAAGGGAGGCCCACAAGTCTCAGCACTGGATTTTAGAGAAAAGAGAGAGGCTGGGTCTCACTGGGCTTCGCCTAACAACAGGGTGCTTTTGTAACCCAAACGCCACGGTAGGGACGGCCATACCCTCCGGCGTCAGCTCCAGCATTGCGTAGGGGGCGCTGCGGCACACGACCTCCTGCATGATGATGCCCAGGCTGAAAACATCGCCTGCCAGCGTTCCCCGGCGCTCCAGGGCTGGGTCCCGAAGCAGCTCCGGGGCTGTCCATAGCTGGTCTGGGGTCGGGAAAGAGGGTGTGGGCACACGGAGGGCCTCGGGAACCCCGACTCATCCTCACCAGAAAGTACAGGCTCGTACCCATTCACCAACCCCCCAACCGGGGTCTGGCCCTGCTGCTTGCAGCTATCCCCGGAGGAAACTACCAAAAACCAAAAACGGGTCTCAGAAAAAGCCCAGCTCTCACAAATAGGCCCCGCCCTTTAGACAACGCTGTGCCCAAAGAAGACTCCGCCCCTTGTCACAAGCCCCGCCCTTAGGCAAAGCCACTCTTAGAGCCGACAATTGCAAGGGCAGGAGCTCGGCCTCTTAGGCACAAGTCCCGTCCCCCTTACAATGCCCCCGCCTCCCTGTTACACAGTTCACCCTCCTCATCTCAGAGATTACAAAACCTTTTCGGTAGCAGGAGTCGCGTCCAGTGGGTGTGAAGTGGAGAGA